AGAAAAAAAAATAAACAAAAAGGGAGACACCAGATGAGAAAATGTAGAAAAACACATGAAAGAGCCGTCACTGTAGGAGCAATTGCATGCATGCTGCCAACTGTCACATAATCTTCTTCTTTGTGGCGACTTTGCAGAGGTTCTGGAAGCAAAGGATTGTGGGTAGGTAGGAGGCTGCCTGGCTGAGTCGGCCATTAGAGTGAGCCGAACTTGATGATTTCACATTAAAACGCAATTCAGGTTGGTAACGGATTTTTTGTGGGTGGTAGTGTGTTTGTTTGACCTTGTAAGAAGAGGTTTGATTTATTGAACACAGAGAATAGAAAACAAAGAAGACTGAAGTAGGAATGAAGGTTTAAATGCTGTGGAAGATTGTAGCAGTAAAACATTATGATGCACCAATTGGGGAAGGACAAGGAGAACGTAGATTTATAATGCTATCTATGGAAAGAGGTCTAAAATATATCTAAATTTGCAAAAATTACAGAGGGAGTGAAAAACAACAATTTGTAGAGTGAAACGTGAGGAAGGAAAGCAGAGCAGGCAGGGGAGGAGTGGAAGTAAACTGAAAACCTCATTAGCAGAGAACCAGTTGGAAATAAAGATGGTAGATGTGATCATTAGAGCCAGGGGGATCAGACATCGCTGTACACCACTGTTTATCCTCCCACTTCTACACCAACATGATGTGTGTGTGTGTGTGTGAATTTCAGTGAAGAGTGCAGCGGATAAAAGGGTTCATGGGTAAAGTCCCCCCCGCGCGCTTGTCTCTTAGTTTTTTCATCCCTCATCTCCATTTTACCCCCCACCTCCTGCTCATCTCCTTATCGCAAAAAACAACCAGCATGAATGTTGCCAGTCAAACAAAAACATGCTGGAAGATTTTCAGATGCTAAATTAGACTTCTGAATGAAATTTAAGTCAGTGATGAATGCCAATGAGTGATATTTTTGTTGGCAAATTGTTCGCAAACAGCTCAAACTGATGTCCTGCTGTAATCACAGAATGGGGATCAAGGAGAAAAGAGGACAATCTTTACAAATGTTTCCATCTGTCAAAGGCTTTTATTTACACTACACCAAAGAAAATGGGATCATTAGTTTATATTTTTTTTTAGTAACTATGAATTGATTCAGAGTAGAGAAAGGGAAAGAGATCAAAACAGTATATTAATGTTTATAAGAAGGTTTATGAATCCGCTACAAATCATGTCATAGTATGACATATTGTGTTATTGTTTTAAGTAGTTAACTTTTCTCGAAATTAATGAATTATGTTAATAACTAAAAACATTTTAACAGTTTGGTCTAATGTAATGCACAGTTACAGTGGAACACAGTTCATTGGTTTATCAATTTGATTATTTTCCGTGTGATTTGGCGTATATTTTCTGTATAAATCAATAGCAGAAAAAAGATTCTTAATGACATTCTTATAATTTTTTTCAAGTGCTTTCTAGTAACTTAAAAGGTTACTTGACTACGGAGCCAATCCTCAGAGCTCAACAGAAAATATAGTCACTCAGCCCCAGCAGTGTTCGCACTTTGTTAGCACTTTGCTCTTCTCATTAATCTATGCAGGACAGCAGATTGTAGCAGAGTCTCTGATAGCAGCAGGATGTAAACAGACGTGTTGAAGGAGCCTCGCTGTGTACGAGCCTCACAGTAACAACACTAATCAATAGAAGGGGACTACAAACCAGTTCTGAGAGAAAAGATGAATGAACAAAAAGGGGGGGGGGGAATTGCACCTGTTAATCCTTCAGAGAGAAGACTCACAAATAAACACGTACAGTAGAAAGATAATTCTCTAATATTTAACTTGAAGCAGTGAGAAGTGAATATTTGATGCAGTCTGCAGGTTTGAAGGAGCTTGTATTATCGGCTCCCTTCTGCATGCCTCTTGCTAATTTTCTATTTCTATGTAAATTCATCTGCCACCTCGCAGAAAGGTGCGGTGCAGAGAGCGAGCCGTGGAACGCTGTGTGGTAACAAACTGCTGCATCGAGGCTGATGTTGTTTGGCTTAAAACTGCAAAAAATAGAGGTAGTGAGGGAGGGAGAAAGGAGAGGGTGAGACAAAGAAAGTAATTGGAATGGCCTTCGCATTTTTCTATTGTAAGTTGAATTGATCCCACTCTCTTTGGATTTTTCTTTCTCCTTTTCGTCTTTTATTTCTCTCTGCATGGAAAGACAGAAAACATTTTTAAAAAATAGCACATCTCATCCTCTTTTCTCTGCTGAATCGATCACCCCCTTCCATCTCTATCTTTTATTTTTTTGTCCTCTTATCTTTATCAAGGCCAAGTCTTTTTATCTCTCCAGCCCCCCTCCCCTAGTTTCTTCAACCCACACTCCCTCATTCTGTTCTCAGTATGAATATTCGACGTTCAGACAGACAACAGATAGCAGTGGTACTTTTGTCGGGAGTCGCTCTGCAGAGAGTGAGATCAATGCTAAGAGGAGAAAGCACAGCACTCATATTCACACCCACGTGTATTTGCTAGGCGGCTAATATGCTACAGAAGTCGATAACATCTCTTCCAGGTGTCTTTGTATGTGAAAAACAACATTGTGAAAACAATTTATATCATTTTGTTTGCACTGAAAAGCAAAGTAACAGATTTTCTTGCAATAAGTTGCACCATAAGTTTTTTGTTGAATGTTCACAGACACCTTCCTCTAGCCTGTTTCCATTCAAGCAAAGTGATGCTTTCATTGTGCACCAAGCCCAGTGGTGCAGTAGAGTGTGATGCATCACTCACTGCCTACCTCAACAGAGTAACAATGAACCTTTCACACACCAGGTTCATTCAGACCTCTGATCAGGACTTCAGACATCAGGGGTGAGTTCAGTGCCGACAAAACGTAGCAAAACGTTTTTTCAACGGAAACGGAGGTGCCTTGAACACCCTGTTCTGTACACAAGCGCACTGCATTTTCCTGCCTTTTTAACACCGTTGTGTTTACAAACTTGTCGCAGCTGATTGGGTAACACCTGTGACACGCCCACCAAACGGGAGAAAACACACCTTGAAGGCTATTGCGGAACGTTGCAAGCGGAAACGTGCCGTTCAATCCGTTGCAAACCGGTGCTAAACGTTTTGAGACTGACCTCACCCCAGGTCTCTGTTTGTATGTGATGGACTAGGGAAATATAGACATTAATCCATCCATCTATCCCTCGTCACCCGCTTATCCTGCGTACAGGGTCGCGGGGGGCTGGAGCCAATCCCAGCTGGCATTGGGCGAAAGGCAGGGTACACCCTGGACAGGTCGCCAGTCCATCGCAGATATAGACATTAATGTTCATCGTAAATATTTAAAGGGGAAAATGCAGTCACTTTGATTGGGTGTTAATCTTTTCACAACACAGTGTTTGTTAAGATAATTTGACAATGAGCCTTCTCTCCCTCAACATGAAAAGTTCCTGCTGATTATTGAATGCTTTACTGAGAGAATTAACAATGGTACTTACACCAACCTGAGCAAATCCTTGTTTCACTTTCTCTCAAATCTATGATTTAAAATTGGCATAATGATGAAACATTTTGTAATGCAATCCACAGAAATGTGTTTGTAATAATAACAATAACAATAATAACAATAATGCAATGTATGTTTTTTGGAAGCTGTCTTTGACTTCATATAGAGAGCCCTTGTTGGACAAAAATACACATTTATAAATGTCATAAAAAATTGGTATATATGTTTCATTAGTTTTATTTAATTTTAAATGGTGATTCGTCACTACTTTTTGTGCATCATGTCCATTCATTGACTGATACAGTAATATTATATTGTTTTATATATAATGAAAATAGTATAATAACAATTTTACATAATTTATAAAAATGTGAAATTAAATGTACTGTGCTGTGTTTGAACAGGTGTGTGTTTGCATGCGTGTGTGTGTCATCGCCTCACTCCCTTTCACTACCCTTTGAATGCTGGAGCTGTGTTTCCATGGCAACACTGACCTCTGGGAGTCAATGTTATTTTTTTCACAGAAGTACCCTCTTTAGAATTCCTCCCTCCCTCTCTCTATCATCCAACCTTCCCTCCCACTCTATTTACCTCTCTATCTCTTCATGTACTGTTCTCTCACCAACTTATCTCTTTCTTCTCTTTTCTCTCTGTTATGTACAAAAAGAAAACACTCTTGATTAGTTATGTGTTCAGGGGAGACACTGTCATTGCGCAGTCCATAATGTTGTATGTCTATCTCAGATTTGTCTCCTTCAGGAAACACACACACACACACAAAGAGTAAATCAGGAACTCTCTGCTTCTCACTCTCTCTGTATTCAGGCATGGTTTGGTCTATCTCTTTGCATCTTTTCTTTGGCTCTTTTTGTCTCCCATCCTCGTCGAGGACACCTCTGAAAAGCAGTTCCTGACAAAGTGCTTTTCAGCACTGACCTTGCCTTTAAAGTCTACTCTTGAGCTGAACCATGTGTGCACTACTTTACAGTGTTTTGCATGACAAAAGAAAGATTTTTCATCACCAATCTCCATCGCATAATTCTTCTTCTTTTTCTTATTGCACTGCCTATTTTGAATTCAAGTGGAGTTGTTGTCGTGTCTGTATAATTGTAGCATCACAGGTGTGACACTGTCTTTTTTGTCTCTCTCTGTTGCACATATGCAGTGTAGAAAACATTAAACAGCTGTCTATAAACAGTGACTAGACTACAAAGTATGTCCTTGTAGAAAGCCTCTCCTTCTTCTTCTACACCTTCCTTTCATGACTTTAGTTGATTTAATTGTCCAATCAGTAAAGGAACACTTTTCTCACTTGTATTTCTCTGTTCAGGTAATTTCATGTGATGCACATGTGGTTGCTTTTGTACACTGTCTGGAGTATCAGCTAAACAGCTAAAGCAGATTTGCTATGATTATGATAAAATATCTGTCACAGAGCAATAATCTATGATTTCTCTCTCTTTTTTTCCTCTTTTTCTACAACCATCCGGCCCCTCCCTGCTGCCCTTCCTACCAGGCCAAGCTGATTGTCCCCAACAGCACGGCAGGGCTGATCATCGGTAAAGGTGGAGCTACAGTCAAGGCAGTGATGGAGCAGTCTGGGGCTTGGGTCCAGCTATCCCAAAAGCCTGAGGGCATTAACCTACAGGAACGTGTGGTCACCATCAGCGGGGAGCCCGAGCAGAATCGCAAAGCCGTAGAGATCATCGTCCAGAAGATCCAGGAGGATCCACAGAGCTCCTCCTGCCTAAACATCTCTTATTCCAACATCACGGGGCCTGTCGCCAACTCTAACCCCACTGGCTCCCCGTACGCCAACTCTACCGAGGTTATGCCGGCCGCAGCAGCCGCTGCAGCAGCTACTGCTTCCTCCCTGCTAGGCCAAGCCAGCCTGGCTGGAGTCGGGACTTTCCCGACTACCATGTCCAGCCTCTCAGGCAATGACCTGTTGGCCATCACCTCCGCCCTCAACACTCTGGCCAGCTATGGCTACAACACCAACTCCTTGGGCCTGGGGCTGAACCCTGCTGCAGCCTCAGGGGTGTTAGCTGCTGTAGCAGCTAATGCAAACCCAGCAGCGGCTGCCGCAGCTAATTTGTTAGCATCCTACGCCAGCGATGCAACCACCAGCGCAGCTCACCCAGCGGCTGGTCTCGGAGGCTTCTCCCTGGGATCCCTGGCTGCTGCTACAGGGGCCACCAATGGCTACTTAAGCGCTGCATCGCCACTGGTGGCATCATCTCTACTAGCCACAGAAAAGCTAGCAGAAGGAGCAAAGGAAGTGGTTGAGATCGCTGTGCCAGAAAACCTGGTGGGAGCCATCTTGGGGAAAGGAGGGAAGACGCTAGTGGAGTACCAGGAGCTGACCGGTGCCAGGATCCAGATCTCTAAGAAAGGCGAGTTCATCCCTGGAACTCGGAACAGGAAGGTGACCATCACAGGTTCCCAGGCCGCCACGCAAGCTGCACAGTACCTGATCAGCCAGCGAATCACCTACGAGCAGGGGGTACGCGCCACCAACCCACAGAAGGTGGGCTAAACCTGACAGCAAATGAGAAACAAGGAGGAAAAGAGGGAAAAAAAGAGTGGGGGCTTGGGGGAGGAGTATAAAAAAAGCGAGAGTGAAAATGGAAAAAGGAGAGGAGAGCAAGAATGTCAGAAGAAATCGTCCACGCCGTTTCCTTCTGCGTGTTTTCAGTATTCTCTATTAAAAAAAATTTTTGAAGCGAAAGCAAAAATGTGCTGAGAAGACGAGGAGAGAGAGGAGCGAGTTATCACGCTGAAAAACCAAGAAAAAAATGTGTAACATGTAAATAAGGTTTTATTACTTAACGTCTTGACCTTTCGGGATTTTTTATTGTTTTGTTTTATTGTTTTGTTTTGTTTAGTAAATTAAGCTGTCTGTTTGTTCGTTTGTGTATTGTGTGGACAAAGCTGAATGCCATGTAGACAGGCCAACTGCCTGAGAGGCTACAAGAAGTGGGGGGAGGGAGGAAAGGGCATGGGCGCAGAGGGGGGGAGGGTTTGCATTTACAGGGTAGAACCCTCCAACCCCCTATTGCAAAAATCCCTTATGGAAATAACCTTTCTCCCTCCCTCCCCTGCAGCCCACACCCATCACCCTCCCATAGGGTTTTTGTTTTTCTTGTAGTTTTGATTTGCCCCTTGCCCCGCCTCCTCCCAAAGCCCCTCTCACTACTTTTATAATGAGCAAGACTGCAAACTTCAGCCTGGTGTGTCAGCGAAGAAACGCCCTCCACTCTCCCAACACCTTTTATTCTCTCCCCCACCTATGATCTCTCCTTCCCCCCTCCTTCCCCCTTTCTGGGAGATGAAGGAAGGGTGAGGTGAAATTGGGGAGAGGTGTGGGGGGTAGAAAATCAGTTGGGCGTTTCTTCATTTGCACACACACACACACACACACACACACACACACACACACACCCCGTATACCCTGTGATGTATCCCACAAGCAGTGCAGCGCTGCAGGGGTGTTACGGTACGTAGCACCCCCCGCCCCCCCTCCCCCGGCCCCCCATATGCAGCTCTAGTGTTTGAGATAGAATGCCGAGGCGCACGCTGATGACCTCACGTAGTGCGAAACCTAGAAACGACGAGAGTGATACTGTGCAAGCTGCGGCAAACACACAGGATCTATGGCATTTTTGCAGTCTGCTGTGATAATTCTGTTAATGATATTGTCGTGATTATTACGATAGGAATCATCACCATCGTCATTATTTATTAATGAGTTCACCCATAAAAAGCTCAGTTGTTTCTTTTTTTAAATCTGTGAATTCAGGTTGACATGAATGTAAATGAGACTATTTTTGATTTGAATCTCTTGTTTTAATTTAAGTGGATTGCAGATGAATAGTAATGTCACATAGTGTAATATATGTCTTATTTAAGTCCAGTAAGAAAGCCGCCCCAGGCATTAAGATCATTACAGTGAAGGTTCACCTTATATATCCAGTCAAAGAGCAGAACAGGGAACACACACTCACATGCACACACACGTACACACTGAAACTATATACTATGATGCCATATTTGGTGCTAAAAAGGGAATTCACCATATCTATGATGCAGACTGCAGTGAAACCAGTGCAGCGTCTTAGCAGCTATATTAACCTTAAACGCCTGGTTATTATGCTTGGCTATTCTAGCTCATGCTCCAAGATATCACTGCTGTTCTATCTGTAATAATACGCCCTGTTACAGTTTGCCTACAATGTAAAATTGTAACCAAAATGAATAATTGAGTTGAACTGAGACTAGTTCTAACTGCTACTGCTTAGCCTGTGGTCTTCCAAACCTTTACATGAACCCAAACCACAGACTAGATCAAGCAAGAGCAAGACTCACAACGTACTACTGAGAAATGCAAACATTGAGTAAGACAAAACACTGAAACATGAGGAGGGAACGTTGTTCGTCCAGGTTCCACTGCTAAGTCTGCAAGCCTCGCAAGTAGATTTGCTATTTTAAGGCAGGGTGCATATCAGTAAAGGAGATAAATAGCCTCACTGATCTTTGCCCTTATCAAGCAACCGTCCGACTGCCGATGAGGTAAAGGGCAGACATGAGAGATTTTCAACATATGTCCAGGGAGTTGAGCTTGTTTCTGCCTCTGGCAAACTGCGGGTCTCCCATGGTAACAGGTTTACTGCCCACTGTAGACCCAGGAGGCTGCTGAAGATGCTATTGTTTCTTTTGTTGTTAATTTTTTTGTTTGTGTCGTGTTATTTTTTTACAATCGGAGTACACTGAATTTTTGTCTTAATGCACTGTGAAGCGAGGGAGCGGTTCTCTCGGCCTATGAGGTCACGGATGTGTGCTGTAGACGGCATCGTGATTGGATGGTTTTTGTATGGCAGGGAAAAAAACACATATATGAAATATATGTAGAATGCATATGAAGAACTTCACCAGAAATGCACGTCATATCTGAATACTGAAGGAGGAGAAAGAGAGTAGGTCGATGAAGAGGGGATCAATCAATTGAGGTCACAAGATGAAATCAATTAGATTCTACTTACCTGTTGTCTTGGAAAAGTGTTTTGTAATTAGAGGGTGGGATGTTGTGGGAGAGGTGTCCAGTAGCAGATTAAAGAGACTGGAACAAATTCTAAATTCACTTTTCTATAGCAGCTCTGTCATTTTCATACACTGTTGAAAATGATAATGTACTGTACATCCAATGGGCAAATCCCTGGACAGATACTAAAGTTCAACAGGAATCGAAGTGTGACGGAATGTAAAATGCCAAAAATGAGGAGGGGGGTGCATTTGATTTATTGACCTAAACAGCTTTGTGAGGGGAAGGAACTCCTCTAAGATTTAAAAAACAATACCTTTTGATTCTTTTTAAACCAATCCGACCCAAAATCCTCCACTGTGCTATCGAATCTGTCACTCTGTTGGAGCGCCAGTGAGGGTTTATCTCCACAGCTTGGTAAGGAGGCTTCTTTACTCCCATCTAACACCATCCACACTCTCCTCACCCTCCCTCCCACCCGTCCTCAGTCCTCCAGTGCACTCCCATCCTGACACCCCCTCTCCTCCTACCACATCGCTCCATGGGTGACTATGTCTGGTGTTACGATCAATGCATGACTGCTGCTTGCCCTGACAAACACAACAGATTGAGTCTCTCTTCTCTTTGCCTCCTCGGGCGGCTGAGGCTCGGAGACGCCCTGACGCACCACCATCAGAAAAATGACCACACCTGCAGAGGAAGTCGTAGTTAAGGCTCGCAGGGCACAGTGCACAAGCACTCTTATCCGTAGTTTGGATTGATGCGTTTCATTTTATTACACTGAAGCGAAACATTGTTAATTTGGAATATCTTGCTGCACAAACATAAAACATACACATATCATGAGGGAATATTTTATCATTGATGGGGTTTGACTGGATTTATGTTTGACATCTTGTGGCAAAAACCACATAAGACCATAGGAAAAATACTGTGCTTTTGTTCCACTGTAGAACTGAACTGTGCTGTAAGCAGTCAGTAACTGATTTTCCATTTTATTTAATGCATGTTTGTGCAGGTGTTGTTTTACAATTTACTTAAGAAAAAATGGCAAACATTTAGTGATTACAGCTTTCCAAATGAAAGGATTTGGTGCTTATTTCTGTCTTATATTATTGTAAATTGAATATATTGTGGTTTCGGACTGTTGGTCAGACCAAACAAGCCATTTGTAGAGGGTTCTGGAAACTTATGAAAGGCACTTTTCACTCTTTTCTGCAATTTTATAAACTGAACAAATCATCACAGTTAATATTTTGAATGAAAATGAATTGAAAGATATGAAAATTATTATTATTTACAACCGTAGTTGTGTTAGTTTTTCCTCTATTTGGGACAAACCTGCTTTGTAATCTATGGAAAGCCAATGGGTGCAGATTCTTTGCCATAACCACTGCAGGTTTACTACGTTGTCCAATTTGCCTGAAAACCTTCAAGTTTCATCGCTACCTTAGTTTGGATGCAGCACAGTGTGTTTACAGTGGAAAAACTGCATCGTTCCTGTTGTAGGTGCCAGTTGTGTTGGTTATTACGGAAACGGACATATTTTCATCTCATTGATGAAACCTTAGGAGGATCTTTTTTGGTTTTGTCTTTTACATGGCGGCCAATCTCTTTAGTTTTCTTAATGTTAGGGGATCGAGATAAAATGTGATGAGTACTGGAAGCAATACACGTAGTGGCATATTGTCTTGTCCTGTCCTTTATCCTCTGTCTGCCATAGGAGCTTTTGGATTTACATGTAGATGATGAATAGGTTTACATGAGTAAATTTTTTTAGTTTGTGGAAAATGCTGCTATTTAATAATAACTGATGTACTAAAAATACAAGGTCAAAACATATCGAAATCTGTCCTTTAGCTGGAGAAGCTAGTGTCAAGTGGCAGTGTAATACACGCTCTGTTATAAGCTGACAATAAGTTAATAATATTGTAATTCTAACCTGAACAAGTTAAACCTGTGCCAAAATAGGTCTTTACAGAGTGAAGCTGTAAATGTGTTGAATTTAACCACATTAGATAAGAGGAGACATACTTTTATATTAAGAAAATGTGAAAAGTGCCAAATGAACCATATTTATAATTTACATAGGAAGGGAGTAGTCTACGTTTTTAAGAACTAGATAGGCTAACGGTCACAGCGCCTCAGTATACGCCTCAGTTTGTTTAAGCCCTCTCTGTTCCTGCCAGAAGAGGCGGGGCCGCCATGTTAGCCAGTCCTCTTGGAACTACCCTTCCCAGAATGCAACAGCACTATGACTCTGGGGCTAGACAAATCAATATAGTGATAGGTTAGCATAATTATGCTAAAAAAATGTGACTTGATAGCATTCTTAAATACAGCCTTTTATAGTTACAATGAAAATGTATTTTGTGGAAATAGATGTTATCTTTTTTGCACGTCTATATTGCATGATATCAAAGTGAAGCGTGGACAAAAAAAAGGAAAAAAGATCAAAGAAACAAAAAAGAAGTTACAAAAAAATTAGGCAGTGTGTGTCATTCATTTTTCTGAGACAAATCTTTGCATGCCAATAAGGGTAGAGCATTTTGATATTGTTTTACACGCGTTCAAACGTCCGTTGTTTTTCGATGCAACCACGTTGAGTCCACCGGCCAAACGTGAACAAAATGTTTGATTGTGACGTCACAACAGAATGAGTATTTTGCGGTTAAGTTGTCCAACCATCCTCAAGGGGATACAAATAAAACTCTTGAACAAACCTAAGACTATTTTGCTACTTGCTGAGCGAGCTTGTACTAAAAAAATTCTCAGTTGCTAACTTTAGAAATAAAAATCAGGATTTAATTTCATATAAAGACTGAGGTTGTCCATGAATGTACTCACCTCTGCATAAGTTTGCATATCACTCCTCTGACCATTGACGTGCAGTAGAGGCTTCCCTGTGTTTTTGTGTGTTTTTGTACTCTAACATTACTAACCCTCGATGCACTGTGTGTCGAGATCTCAGTATAAGTCTGTTGTCTGTCCTCTTCCCCCCCACACACACACACTCTGAGCTCTGGCTTGTCTTGTCATTGATATGCACCTTATTGACCTCAAATATGACACGGAGCATCTTCAGCCCCATCAGTGGGGTCAGGAGAGATTTATAAAAAGAGAGTGTGTGAGAAAGAGAGGTGAAAACTCCCTCCCTCACAAATCCCCAAAAATAAACACACTGTCTGCTGCACTCTCTGTATCCCTTGGGTGCCTCACTGCAGAATTTGGGACAGATTGTGTTTTCACTTCCTTAATATGCAATCCAAGGCTCTGATCTCGGAGAGAGAAACAACACTGAACATTGCCAGTGTATTTCCAAAGTGGTAATGTTTTGAATCCTGATCCAGCCTCCTCTCTTCTCTCTCTCTCTCTCTCTCTCTCTCTCTCTCTCTTAATCAGTTCAATTAAATTCAAATAGCTTTATTGGCATGAACAAACACATGTTGTTGCCTAAGCAGTTTATAAAAGATTCACAAATATTACATATTATATATACATATTAAATACACAGGTGTCACATAAGCAGGTTCTGTATTAAACCGATGCAGTCCACTCTGCGATTGCTTCTTTGATTCTTTGGAGCTGCCACCCCTTCACCACACACAACAAATGCCCCCCAGCTGAGTTAGATGCTTTATTGGCTTTAGTATCAAACAAAAGAAAGAGAAATTTTGCCAAAGTCTTTCCACCTCTCTCACTCTCTAATTCATTATTATGCAACCCAGAAACCAGTTTTTTCAGTGTGGTCATGTTTTGTATTCTGACAGATGTTGTCATGGGAAATGGCTTCCTACAAAACTCCCAAAAAAGAAAAAAAAAATCTAAATTTCCACTTCTGCTCCTAGTGACATGTTTGCACTAAACTTTCTGCTGTTATTGTGCATGGCAGGCCGGGCTAAGGTGGGGGTCAGTGTGCGAGACTACTGTAGATGTGTAGCCTTACTGTAGGTGTTTATTCAGCAGTGTATTTAGATGTGCATGCTCCTCTCTCTCCCTCTTTCTGAGTTTGTCTGCTTTAGGCCAGCTCCGTGCTCGTGGTGTCTGTGTTGCGACGTAGCCCGCTAGTCATGTTTTCTTTCTCTTTTTTTATTGTGATGCGTAGAGGAATGCAAACTTAACTCTCACCTGCTCGCCAGGTGACCTCATTGCTTCTTAGTGGGTGTGGCTCTCCGACATAGTCCTCAGCTCTTGTTTATTGCCCCTCCCCTTCACCGGCACCGCCCCACCCACACCTCCACAAACTCAAACCCACTCTCACCCACACCCACCACTGACCCTGCCACCTTTTCAAACACCCTCTAAGGCATTTTATGGGACCCCGCTCTTCCCCTTTTCCACCCCTCTTTCTCCCCCAACTCGGGCCCCATCAAAGCACCAGCAACTGTAGACTGCATTTTTCATATCACTGTTTTTCTGTTCCTTCTCGTTCTCTGTTGATTTTTTTTCCTGGTTTTGATTTGTACTGTATGCTCTGTCTAACCTAGACCAGTTTTAACAAAATGCCATTTCTGTGTGTAGCCTGTTTACCCCTGCCCCACACACACACACACACACACACACACTCTCTCTCTCTTTCTCTCTCTCTCTCTCTCTCTCTCTCTTCATGCCCTCCTTTTTGCACTTTCACTGCCCACTTCTCCTCCTTTCCTAAACATACACACACTTTCCTCCTCCGCCTCCCACGAGTCTCTTCTCTCGAGTGCCAAAATAGAACAGAGAGGAAAAAAACAAAACAAAAAAAGACAACAACAACAACAACTACCATTCCAAGCGTTTCTTTGAGTTGTTCTTGTGTGTCGGACATCCATCCTGGAAGCACCCATGAAGCCAGCATGCTCCGCCCTCATAACATGATGTCGCTCATGACGCCTCAACTGAACAGCACCTTGCCCCCCACCACCACCACTCCTCCTCCTCCTCACCACCCCCCACAGAGCTAAACCCGACAAGGATTAACCCCTCTGCAGGTTGGCTACCTACCTACTGTCCTGCCTCTCAACCTACCTAAAAAGCCCTACCGCTCATGCCAGCTGCTTTCCTAATTCTGTCATCTCTTCAGCCTGTGGGACTTCATTGATTGTGTGCCATAGTGTTGGGGGCACCTTTCACTCTCCTCACCTTCCCCTCTTTCTACCCCCCCTCACCTTTTCTCTCTATACCCCCCCCCCCTCCCCCGCTCTTGCTCCATTTGATTTTTCTCGATGGGAAAGATTCAAAAACTCCATTTTCTAATGATGATTTTTTTTGTTGTCGTTTAACATCCAAACCACGCACGCCGACACACGCACCGCCCCCATGTGGTGATGTGGGGAGTGTTTACGCACCGTCAGCTGCGCAGCCATCCTCTGTCTTCTTGAACTTTTTGAACTTTCACCCCCTCATGAACTTTATTGACCTTCTTCCTCCTCCTCCTACCCCCCTTCTGTGTTCATCCAACTGTTTGGACGATAACTCTCCATTCCATCCCCAAAACCTCTGAGACTGTGCAATGCTAGCTGATATGATTGGATTTTTTTGTTTGTTTGTTTGTTGCTCATCATTGGGGACAATTCTCTGAGATATAAGTCGAAAAAGAACAAAAAAAAACATATGAAAGGAAGAAAAAAAAACATCCAAAAAAAGAAATGCAGACAAACAAAAAAAAGAAAAAACACTAAACAATTGTTTCTCCACAATTAAATTTTTTTTCTCTCTCATTGTAAATATTTTTGTCAGATTTTTGCTGAGCTGTAAAGAGAGAAGTGTTGAGCAGAAAGGGGCCGGCAGCATAAAGAGGTACTAGTGGACGCAGTAGACGATCATTACACTTCTCATACTCTGTATCGGATAGTTAGGTCTGCCTGTATAATCGGCTATGCTAGTTCTACTGTGTTAACCTGTGCTGTTGTTATTAGTGTTGATTTACCTACTGTATTCGCTGTTTAGCTTCCATGTTGGTTAGCAAACTCTGTAGATACCTGTGCTCATCATATATTAATACTAACCTTGAGAAGTAGTCCGAGCCATTCTCAACGTAGGCTTGTTTTTGTACATTTGTTGATGTTTTCCTAACAGTGAGTTGTAGTGGCGCTAGTATCTTTTATCATCAAACCATAGTTATTGAAAATGCTTGGTCATGTTAGAGACATATCATCGTGGAAAACGGCTCAACTCGGCTCCTCCAGGTTAAAAAAAAAAAACCCAGGGAGGTGGACAAAAGAAAATTAAAAAAAAAGAAATGAAGCTCCTCCTGGGCAACAAAATGAGGAAGCTGAGCTGCTAACCTTTGTGCAATACAGTCCTAGTTTACATAACATAGAATGATAGTTTAACGATGATTAACCTCTGCAGGTGCCGCTCAACCATCCTGCTGCCTGCAGAACCAAACTTGTGGCATATCTCCATATTTCACCTGTACATCCGAGACATTTTGAAAGTATTAAAGTGACTGCGTGAGATTAGACTCAACCATTTCATTGCATTGCTCTGAGCTCCACTCTTGATTTATGCTGCCTGCCCCATTGCCCTGAGAACACCACATGAGCTATTTATTTCTCAGACTATTATTATTATTATACTATTAATAAATAACAACGCAACAAGAAAAATGGAACGACTGGAAAAGGTGAATTAATATTAGTATTGTTTTGTTTTTATTTTTAGTATTTTAGTGGTTGCTTTTAACAACATTCATTAACTGACTTAAAGAGTATTGAATATTTAATGTAATTGTAGCATTGTGTTTGTAAAGAGAAAAAAAACTTAGTGAGTTGTGTTTCTTGACTTGTGGATTACCAGTGAAGTGGGCAATCTAGTGCTAATATATATGAGGTCTTTTTTTAAGGATTCTTATTTTTTGCGACAGCAACAGCAGTCATTATAAATGTTCATTTTAGCATCACCTGTCTTCCGTTGTCTTATTCTTCACCTTCCACCACACTCTGCATCATCACAGTAACACATCGCAAGTCTGGGGGTGGGCAAGAGTGTGTGTTTGTGTGAGTCATGAAGTGTGTATGTGGGTTTGTGTGGAATCTGGGAGCAGATGTGTGTTTGTCATGAACGTACGTGTGGGTGTAAGTTAACAAACTTGTGTGTTTATTTGTGTGTGTCTATGCAAAATGTGGTAGATGTGGAGTAAATGTGTGTGTGTCCCTGTGTTTGTCTGCTCACGTGTGTATGAGTGCATGTTTCTGTGTGTGTGAGTGTATGTGCTCGCTGGCTCTGTGAGAGCAGGGTTCAGGGTGGGTGTTCTGTCCAGTGTCCACCAAAAGCTAAAACCTGTCAGGATTCCATACCTCCTGATGGAACCTCCTGACGTTATAGCTGCAAACCCTCATCATGTGATCTGACTCAACTCGACTGTCCATAACCCCCTCAGTCACCTGACCAACCAAATCAACCAATCACTGTCCACCACTACCGCCTTCCCCTGCGCCATCCTTTGCTGCACACCACGTCAGCCCCATGTGATGTTCTCCATCGATAACATACTACTGTCACAATCTACTGTTACATGCTGACAGATCTGGGGATAAATACTCATCTAGAATGGACGTTCAAGTGTTCAAACCTGAGGTGCACTTGCTTTTGTTTTTCAAAACAAAGTGTCAAAGTGTTTGCAAATTAATCAAAGCGCTCTTTAAGTTGCTCTAACAAAACAAGTATACCTCTAGTTGTTTGATTTCTGAAGGGTCAGCTCACCTAAAAATAAAAGTTTTGTTTGTCAAGGTTTTGAGATATGTGTCTCCAAAACTTCTGCCTCAATCCCAAAACCAATGGAGATGAATGGAATTTAGTTTGTGGTGCTCACAGCTTTGAAACTTTACATTTAAAGAATCAATGGTAACCTTTCTTTGCAGAAACCGTGTCCCCGTTGCTCTGGGTAAACCACAAACGTAACAAGCGAAATTCAGTGTTTGGGGACTGGTGACAGAAATCTCAGAGACAGATATCTCAAAACAAATACTGTTATCCGCATAATTAGATAACACTAGAGTTAAGTGAGAAAATATTTCACAATTTGGATGAACTGACCCTTTAGTCTGCATTTGGTGCACTTGTTCCGTTTGTTTTCATCAGCATCATTGGAAAGCATTTAAATTCATGTATTTTTCCCCAGAGCTGCATATTACATTCTACTGTTCATACTACTGTACGTGCTGCATACTACCTTACCAGGACAGATTTCACCTTAACCTGTCTTCATGCCAATCACCAAGGAGTCAGTTGCAAGGCAACCGGCTTCCGCCACAACAAACCAACCTACCAACCAACCATCTTCCTCAACCGCCGAGGCCACGCCCACCTGACTATGAGCGTTCCATAGAAGAAGAGATAGAGGAAGAGAGAGGATAGGAAGAAGGGATGAAAGACGAAAGAGACGTAGTTGTGATTCTCAGGGTGTCTTATATTAATCTAATGTTCAGTCTGTTCTCCAGTCTCTCACTGGTGTCCTGTTGCCCCTAACTGAGCCCAAAGACGATCATGTCCTTCCATGATAAATTCCTTGTACAATTGATTGACTACTGACCAATTCCTCTCGATCAGTTGATTGATAGTATTGATTGACCAGTTCTCTTGACAGATGCTACACAGACAGTCAGGTGAATGAAGCTAGGCACTGTAACTAATGTTTACAACCCAAATGAGACCAACAACGCTGTTGAAAGAATGTCTAGGACTTTAAAAAAAAAAAAAGAAAAAAATAAGAGAGGGACAAATCTCTGAACAGTACTTATTTCTAAATGATGGAACTTTTCGCCTACTTTCTATGTGACATGAGGTAATGTAATTTTTTTCAATCATTGCATGTGACTATTTTGATTTGCAATGAAACTGTTAGAATGGATGGTACATTTGTGACGTCAGTGCAACGTTTAGATGCCGATGCTAGAAATCAATGTCGGTGTCTTATAACAGTGTTTTTATGTCGCCGTGAGGAGTGCTTATGGACCAATGAATGCTAAATGTGTGACCATACAAAGCTGTAAAGGTTTTGTTTATTTGTACATGGTTATGGGTAAAATAAACCATTGAAGCAAAGTAACATCTTTAGTCTTAAGGAGTAAGCCCTCACACATTTGTTTGTCAGTACCAACAACGGTACTTTGAAAGCTTTGGATAATGCAGTAGATACATTGTTATGAGGTAAGTTTCAACAGTAAAAGTTGATTCAACATGGCACCTGGTAATGTGCTTCCATTCTGATATTCTGAGGTTTCTTAGGAGTGCTTGATTTAGTCGGGTCAACGTGTTAGGCAAGGTCAAGAATCGAAGACAATCAGCGTTTTGATCCACTTTCACACATGACAGGCATCACAATTAAGAATGGGTGGGGTCCAATTATCTCACATATCCATCTACCCACAATCCTCCTGTGCACCAGAGTCATCTGATCAACAAACACCTGCACCCCCGCATCCACCATGATTCCACAAACCAGCCAATCAGCTCTTGTGGCCAAATTGTCTCAGCCCTCTCCATGCCATCGGCTAAGCGGCTAGTGGCTTTTTGAGCTGTTGTTGCAAAGCCCCCTGGGAAATGGAGTCACAATTCACAGCATGGTCCGACCAACCTCTTGTCACTCTCCTCCCAAACACCTTTCTCCATATGCCACTAAAGAAGTTCCTCCGGCTTCCAGCAAGACGGTCACAGCGTTCTGTGGTGTTTTTATAGTGTGCCTGATAGAAAGTTAGGTCACTGCAAACAAACAAATACATGGTTTTTCTAAGCAGCAAAACGTAACTTCAATTTTAAAAGACTAAATTTTTACAATGTATCAGATCATGCAAACTACACATTTACAAGGTTGCCACAACAAAATTTAAACACCAAGATTTTTATCTATACAATTTGTACCCGAACTGTAACCATATTATGTAAAAGGGAGATTTTACACGTTGTATAGAGCAGAGTGGACCTTTTTGTTTCTTGGAGGCTGAAGCGATGTCGGAGCAAAAATAATCTCATTGGTTGATTTAAACTTCATATTGCGGAACCACATATTTCAGGGTCATTACCATTAGGCTGAATCCCAGTAAACAAGCCAGCAGTAGGTGGGAGATGAGAAAGCTCACATATAGTAGAGGACAATTGGGGTTGGCAAACAGTGGTCCATGAGCCAGATGTGTCTCTCCAACAATTATCAGGCCTCCTGAACAATAATAAATGTGAAAAATTCCCATATTGGGCAACATAAAATCTGTGACTGTTTCACAATTCAGCTGTGAATATAACAAATTAAAGACAAAGCACCTTTATGATCCTGATAAGTCATTCATTTATTATTTAATAATAAATACACATATGGAGCAAATCTACACAGTGCCTTCTTGCACAGTTTATTATAAGTGTACTATAGACTATTAAACTTGAAATGATAAATAACCCATGGAAAAAACCCCACTTTGTTTGGATTATCTCTTAATTCAAATATATGATCCAGAATTAATCAAAAAGACGTTTGCGTTTAAGTTTGAGGTTATTTTGTACAAAATAACATTGCGCCTCCATGAATTCCCACATTAATCCTCAGAAACAAGGTCACAGCTTTATTTTCCAATGGGCACCGTTTCTCTGCAAGAATCATTCCAATTCACTCCTACATCCACCGTACTTCAACAAACAACATGTGAATTGCTGTGGCCCAGGACGAACCTTCAACAACAGAAACCAAATCCAGATCTCAAAACCAAATGCCAAACCCGAGTCATACAGCAGAGAGCTCTGGCTGGATTCAAACTATTTAGTTAAATGAGGGTGACTCAGACAGTGTGAGACCTGCTTCATCACAGACCGTCTGTATGTGTCTGTCAAAACAGGTCAGACTGAGCTGGGCATGTGAGCCATTAATCTCACACAACTAGTTCTAACAGCTCAGTGCAGTCTGAACGCACTACTGAACTGAAGACAGCAGGATGTGGTGGCCATATGAACAGTGATGCGTTCACTTACCGTCGTACTACGTACTGAAGTGCATTTGAACAGTGATGTGACACTTTTGTTTAGAAAAATAAGCTACATAGACCATGACTACTAGCCTTTGAAATTAATGAAATGATTCAAATCAGCAAAGTGAAAGCAGAACTCTGCAGCCATTGTCTCATGTTGCTGCCACTTCTATTAAACAGTATAGTTCGAAGTTAACTTATTACATACGTGAATGTATTATAATCTCCATCTATAGCTCCTCAACTGGCAGTGTCTTCAGACAGTCCTGTCAATATAGGCAGTGGTAAACAAGGAGTAGAGGGCACACACATAAAAGTCCAGTCAGCTCTCCCTTGTTTAGGTATAAATTAATGAGCCTGTAATTTAGCCTGTAATCACAACACACTACACCAGGCTGTAGTTAAATGTTAATTCAGATAGTTAGCAAGCCTGATACACAAGGGATGACTTCTACGGTCATGAATGAAAACAAAAAAAACATTCCCTTTTAAGTTTTTACATTTCAATAACGTAAAAACTTAAAATGTGAGTTTCATTTGCCAGCTAGCATGCTCACAAAGTGACAGTTCCCTTTTGGTTCTGCCTATTTAATATTAATTGAACCTATAAGATTGTTTCTGCCTCCAGAGCAGCGCTGCCTCCATGAAATGTTTCTCTGACAAAACCTTGTCTCAGTGTATTATCTTCTGGAGGGGATTAGGCAGTGTTTTCACCTTTTCTCCTCATCTGGGCAATGGTTCCAAAATTGGCCACTGAGATGTGCTCTAGTGTTGTGATGAATGTTAATGTGCCTTAGATCAGCTCACAAAGGTATTGCCGGTTGTGTAAGAACCACAAAGGCCTCTGAGGATACAGGAGGTAAGTTGTTCAGAGTGGTTTCATAACTCACAGTAAGAGAGGTTAAATTGTATTTTTGTGTAAAACATGACTGCTAAAAATCAATCCACATGTGTTTAAACATATTCTAATCTATACTAAAGTGTAATTGAAGGTATCTATAATTTGTGTATTTCCTTTGTAGAGTAACTGTTATACTCTATACAATGATCCCCAGAACTGTTTTTCTTCAAGGTGTTTCAGTGTACTTCAGTCACTGTTGCCCTACTTTTGTGCAGTCGGCTAAAGCCTGTACAGATTCAGTGTGAGCCACAGAGGAGCCAATGTGACAGCTACCATGATAAAGTAGCTCTGCTCCTGTAGACCTCGTACCAACATATAGATCACAGACTTCTCCGAATCTAGGACACTCAGGCTACGACAAGCTCAATCTGTTACTCAGCTGCTGCAAAGATGAAAAACGTCCAAAACCAAAAAATACTGAAACCTGCCACCACAAATTGACACAGTCAAATTATTTTAATTAATCATGAAATCAAGTTTTGCCCAGGAAATGTCTCTACTTCTTAATTCACATAGCTAGTGATGGCTATTGCTAGCTAGTAATCTTTCTTTGTCAGCATTAACAAAGCACTTGCTACTGCTAATGGTGCACCTCTCCTTGCAGAGGGTGCATATTGATTTCCTTCCCTCCTCATCTGTTCTTTTGCCTTTTTTACACGTTCCCTCGTTCATCTGAACTCTAAAAACAGATCTCAGTAAACCCCAAAGGAGATGTTCATAGGAATTCCCAGGTTGTTCCTGTGTCTGGTGGAAGTAGGAATGAAGATAAATTGGATAGGCTTGCTTCTTGCAGAGCAACAGTGCCTCCAATGCTCTATAACCTATATTTCTGTAATCATACTGAGCCATTATGGGCATTGTACCGTATCTTCCAGTTTTCCCGTGGGAATTTAAAGCTGTGGCCTTGTTTCTGAGGATTAATGTGACATGGTGGCACCTTTTGTAAGTAGGATAGTACCAAATCTTTAAATTGTTCACCTGTAGGTTTAGAGGGTATCTGAATTAAACAAAAGCCTGCAACAAGCAAAGGAAATCATACCATACTGTAACAGTGCATGTATAATAAACTGTAGTGCACAGTGCTAAAAGAAAATACTGATGCATCATAATTCCACGATGCAGGCAGGCATAAAGGGGCACACTGAACCTACAGAGCATTAGAGCGAATTATTCATGTTGTGGGACCATGCATACTGGTGCTTCCATGAATGCCCTCACTGTGCCTAGGGAAGACCTTGTTCATGACCAACATGCAAGGTTTCAGAGGTCACTACAACATTAACAAGTGAAATGTCAGCATCCTCTAATGTGTTATCTTTTATTAGGAATTGTTCTAAATTATAACTTCAATATTTTTAATTCAATTTTATAACCTGGACCTTATTTTCCCATTTTCTGTGACCATGTGACTATAGACAAGATTTTTTTAAATCAGTCCAGTATTGAAGGAGCACTAGACAGGGCAGCAACGTAATCCTTGCGGGCAGTGATGCCCAGTCAAAGTGCATCCACTAGTTTTTGCCACTGACAGGCTCAGATTATTAATATGTGTCTGACAACATTATGGAAGGGATTCCTATGGAAGGGATTCCTATGGAGATAGGCCTTTTTTTAAAGAGTAAGATCCTTTTTATTTAATCTGAAACAGTCGTCATGTCGCTCTGTTCCCTGACAAAAACAGTATTTGTGAATTTGGTGTCTTCAGTCACACCAAAGTCACACAACGACAAAAGACACCTAACCGGTGAGGCGGCACTACACCAGTAACTCCTCTGTTCTGCGGGGTAAAATTACTGTTTATGTCAAGTTGCTGCTACCGACTGCAGCGCGCTCACTTAATACTGGATCAATTCCAAAAAATGTTGTCCCAATTAGTCACATAGAAACAAAAACATGGGAAAATAGGGTTGAAAAACACCGAAGTTACCCTTTACTCCTATTATGTTGAAAGATGGTGGTTACTAATTTTATAATCTAAGGTGCTCTCATATCCCTATAGCAGCACTCTGAGGTTTCATGCTGCAAAATCATAAAAATGTTATAAATATTTGTCTTGTGAAAGCACATATTAGTGCTTAAATCCCACCCATTGTCAGTTATAGCTACAGTTACAAGGGTTATGAGTTTGTTACCCCTCTGGTGCCAAACTTACTGAACAAGTGGGCTTTGTGAAGAAAACACATTTCAACAAAAGTG